TCTTCCACCTTATTCTCCCGATCTTGCTCCTTCAGACTACCATTTGTTTCTTAGCTTACAGAATCATTTGGAAGAAACAACTTTTGTAACACAGGAAGAGGTCAAAGCCAAAATAATTTTACAGTAATAGAATTAGTAAGCTTGTTAATAGAAGTCATAGATAATCAGGGAAAATACATTGTTGATTGAATCTGTAATTAAATGTAACATTTGCTCAACAAAACTTGTTTTCTTTATTCAAAATTCGGACAGAACTTATGGGATGACCTGATATATATATATATATATATATATATATATATATATATATATATATAAAAAAATTGAAACCAAACTTCAATAAAATTAATTACGAATACTCCACAGACAATTTAAAATGTGTACAATAGATAGACTTTAAATGTTAGCGTTTATCATTAATAGTTTTTCCTTTTATCTAACAACTACCGGATTTTTTTCCACAGCATAACTAGTCACCTTTCCTTAAACGGCGTCCGCGTCAACCAAGCCATGACATAGCGTTCCTGACTCCACATATAAAAATGGTAATTTTCGGATGGCGACAAAAATTTTTGTCGTTCACAACCATGAACAATAAATTCTTACTCTATAATTAACAATATCCTGATGATAACATTATGTTATGTCGGAAGTACTCGGAAATAAATACAACATAAGCAAACACTGTGTTTTACTCTCGTCTTTTAATAACCGCACCAAAAAAAAAGCTTATCCGCGAATATGAAAGGATCCTATCGAAAATAAGCCGACAGAACTTGTCTAAATTATTTAACGAAACCTGAAGACCATAATCGAATTCCGCCATGGTCTATTTGTAAATGAGATGACTTCTTGATAATATCGGCCCGCTTAGACGATCCCTGCGTGTGACACCATTAGGAATTACCTGAAAACCATAATCGAATCCCACCATGGTCTATTTGTAAATGAGATGACTTCTTGATAATATCGGCCCGCTTAGAGGATCCCTGCGTGTGACAACATTAGGAATTGCCTGAAAACCTTAACACTGATTGACTAAAACCTTGTGATGAAATTGGGCAATCGAAATCGTTTGGAAGTTAAGGAAGGCCGATGATTTCAACATACTGGTCATGTTTGAATTGATGATTACGCTTGTGTTCTATCTCTCAGAAATTGTAACTAAAGATCTTCTCAACGTAGTTTTAGTACAAACTAGAGGCTAGCTCTGTGGGGCTTGAAGATACACAAATCTACCTGAACAGTTGCGATTACCCTGTTATCCTTGCAGATATACATACTCTGATGCGAGCGGCTATCTATACATGATTCAGTAGCGCTTCGATGTGATATAATTGTTAGCAAGCTTGTCTTCCTCGAACAATTACGAAGTGAATGAACAGGGCCGTGAATATTAATAACGTGATGCAAGACTTGTTTGATATCTATCGCTTTACGACAGGCTCCCTTTGAGAAGAAACAGTACGCATTTATAATAAGCAGAGTGAGTTTAACTTCCACTGGTGTCCATTTCACCAAAACTGAGTTTAATTTACGAGGATTTTTTTTTGTTTCTTTTTAAGAAAACGCAAAACACCCTTGTTAGACCGTGTATCTAAAATAATTGAAAATAGTTCTATCAATAATTTCTGCAAACTCAGCATCCACTCAGCAAAATGTTATTCAGGGCTTGTTCAAAGATTTCTATACAACTCCACACAATCTATGATAATGGCGACCAACTCTACTACATCTCGATTTTCATAAGGTAGTATTCATATAAAATACAAATTTTATTGTAACCTAATTATATACAATAATGCAATCATATGCAATTTAGGTGAACAATTCTACTAGAAAAATTGAAAATAAATACAATGTATCTAAATACAAATTAGAGACATGTCATAATAGATCATTCTATCTTAAATGAATCAACAATGTTTTTGTAGCAATTTTTTAACATAAAACCAGTGATTTTTCTTGTTAAAAATTGAATAATTTTAACACATTCAACATTATGGATGAAAAATAGTGAATTTTATATAGTTTTTTTTTTTGTTTTTTTGTTTTGCATGTGCAAAACAAATTCACAGATTTAGACGAAAAAAGAAAAAAAACCTCAGAATGAAGTCAAAATCCGCAAAAAAAAAAAAAATCATAGGCCGTTGTGAATTAGTTTCATTTGTAAAATATATAAATGAGGTAGAAAAAAAGTAAATGCTGATAAGTTTGCGAGGGTGACAAAGCGCTGCCTGAGGCCCCCAATCAGGCTTGACTGGGGTGGTTGGGGGGTAGTACGCACCAGTCCTGATGATATATATATTTTACAAGTATGTTCATATGCTGATAAGTTGGTAGATAATTTACAGGCATATTCTTGTAAAATATACAAGTATACGCTTTACAAGTATATCCTTGTAAAATATACAGGTATACACTTTATAAGTATATCCTTGTAAAATATACAAGTATATTCTCCACAAGTATATTCTTGTAAAATATATACAAATCAATA